ACCAGAACATCTCACTTTATAAACCACTCTAGTAATAAAAGAATTTTTTTTTTAGTAAATTCCTCATTCATCCACAGGCCAATAAACATTTGTCAAATTAATGTTTTAGAATACTAGATTATTGTAGGAGTAGAGACTGCCATAGAATATTCGACTTACGTGCTTCATGGAGAATTTGGGTCCGAATACTTACTGCTGTCCACTGCTGATGATCTTGAACAAGGCACCTTATCTTTCCAGTCTTGCCTGTCTTCTGTGTAATTTGATTGTAAGTCCATGTTCCTGGCAGTTGGGAGGGAGGAGAAGGGAGGTGGTTAAGCACATGCCTTCCACGTGGACTCAATCTTGAGTATTGCACACATCATTGCCCCTCACAGTTACCCAGAGCGTGGTTACAAGACCGTCACTAGCTGAAAGGGAGCTGGAAACGGTCTTACTTCTGGGCATCCTTGCTCTCAGCTACAATTTGGAGGCATTATCTGCTACAAGTGAGATAGCACTGCCATTCTGCTATCAAAGTCCTCAGTGAAGTCCCACTAACCCTTCACTTGTATTTGCACGGCCACTTTGTGTCTCTCTCCAATCAGAAGGGTTTTCGCATGTTTTTAATGACACACTTGCTGCGACTGCCACACTTTCTCAGACCACGCAAACAATATCCTCAGACATTCCCAATGCATTGACTGTCCTTTAGATTCGAGTTTGATCAAAAAACCGTAAGTACTTGATAATAAATCAAATACTACAGAAAAGTTTATAATAAAAAACCACAGCCACTCCCTCTGCCCAGAGCTTGCAATCTGTTTCTGTGTTTGATGCTCATGACTGTTACTTTCATATCTATATATGTTTGGACTTCCGTTTCCTGTTTTACCTACTTTAGACAATACCTATTAATTCTCTGACATGGATGATAAAGATTATACACACCTGCTATATCCCACTCACCGTTTGCTCACTCATATCAACGTTTAATATTTGCTTTATTGCTATTTTTTCACTTTACTCTTTTTTTAATGTTTATTTTTGAGAGAGAGAGAGAGAGAGAGAGAGAGAGAGAGAGAGAAAGCACGAGCCAGGGAGGGGCAGAGAGGGAGACACAGAATCCAAAGCAGGCTCCAGGCTCCGAGCTGTCAGCACAGAGCCCGATGCGGGGCTTGAACCCACAAACCACGAGATCATGACCTGAGCCAAAGTTGGACACTCAACTGACTGAGCCACACAGGCACCCCAATTTTTTTTTTTTATTTTTGAGAGAGAAAGAGAGGGAGCGGCAGAGAGAGAGGGAGACAGAATCTGAAGCAGGCTCCAGGCTCTGAGCTGTCAGCTGTCAGAGGGGCTCGAACCCACAAACCATGAGATCATGACCTGAGCCAAAGTCAGACACTTAACTGGCTGAGCCACCCAGGTGCCCCATTGTTATTCTTTCATTGGTTACCTTTATAACCTTTGATATCCTTATACCTGTGGTTCTTATTCCATTGATTTTCAGAGTATTTGATTTCTGCTTTGTACAACAAAATTATGAGCACCCCCACTGTTTTATCCCCCTTTATTTCCCATTTTTCTATCAACTACCTTTTTATTTATACACTATCAAAATTGTGAGCAATTTCATTCTGCCTGGCTACTACATGTCTTTCCTATAAGTTGGCTCTAAAAGTTTGAGATTGATTATAGGACTTACATTATTACTATGTAGACAGCAAGGTAAGTTGGGTCAAGTCGTATGCTAGAATTAATTTTCGTGTTTACACATTCATCGTCACAACTATTGGGCAAATCAAAGGAGATTATTCCTAGCATTAGTACCAAATGAACTTTTCTCTCATGTCTCATCAATTACTTAAAATTGTCCATCGTTTGAGTTTGTTGCTCAGTTGAAACAAAAATTTCTTGTTCTTGAAATTTCTAATGCCCTCTAATTTATGTCAGTATTTCTGTATCATGGACTATTTTTTTTTCTAATTCTCTATACTATCATCTTTTTTTCTATTTTTCTATCGGCTCTTTCACATACACTGATTTCCTTACAGTCCTTCCCCCAAAACCTCCCTCCCTGTGCTCTAGTCAGCTGGTTGTCCTTGCCCCGTTGCTAGTTGTTAACTGGATCTTATGATCACTGCTTTCCTGGGTTGAAATCTTTGCCTCTTGGATCAAATTAATTCTACATTTTGCTCTCATTTTGCTGAAACATTTTCACACAACTTTCCAAGAAAATGTGCATGAAATGTAAAAAAAAAAAAATCTGAGTCCCTCCTCATATGAAAAAAAAAAATCTTTATTCTGTGCTCAGACTTGAATGGCTAGTTTGAGTGAAGAATCTGGGTTGAAATTATTTTACCTCAGAAGTCAGGATGTTTTGCCCCATTGTCTTCTAACGTGCCGTATTAATGGAAGCACACCAGTTTGATTTTCATTTCTTTGCACAGCACTTGATGTTTGCTGTTGGAACTCTTTTGTGATTTTGCTTTTATGCTAGGTGTTCTGAATTTCATTCTTTCAGCTAAGCATTCTCTGGGATCCCAAAGCACTCTCAGAGTCACTTCAGGAAGTGCCTGTGTGCACTGGCATGCCTCGCTTATACGTATCAAATCATCAATTTTGGAAGAGCCAGAATAGGAAAATCACAATCGGTATAATCATAATTACCCTAACTGTAGTTTTATTTCTTGATGATGAACTCTTTCTTCCAAATGGGTTAAACATTTACATTTTAAAATAACAATAAAATGGGCTGGCATACAATATAGGGATAGGTAGGTAGGTAGGTAGATAGATACATATATACATACATACATAGATCTAGAAGTGAAAGACTTTCTAAGCAATGAGTAAAGGGAGATACCACAGAGAAAAACTTCGTTCATTTGATTTCATAAATGTGGGAAGCTTCCATGCTGAAAAACATAATTAAAATATTATAGGGCAAATGAAAAACTGGAAAAATTATTTGCAAAATAGCCATAAAGTTTTGATATTATAACTATGATAGTGAACTCATAAATCAAAAAGGTGAAAATGCCCTGAAAGGAAAAAAAAAAAAAAAGGAAAGATATGAGTAGGTCATTCACAAAGGAAGCAATAGAAATGGGAACTAAATTATGAAATAATATTCATTAAAAAAATAAATAGCCAAAATTTTAATTTTTATGTATCAAATTGAAAAACTAAAAACATTTTAAATAAAGATGTTTATTTAGAGATAACAGACTGTGAAAAATAGGCACTCTTGTACCAGCTTGTGCCATTAATAAGACAAAAGCATGTGGCATTCAGTTGAGCAATATATGTCAAAGGTCATAAAAATGTGCGTTGCTCTTTTACCCAGCAATTCCATTTCAAGGAATTTAACCTGGTGGAAAAAAAAATCAAGTACGTGAAGATGAAGTTATATAACAGTGGGTTGTTTATAAGACCATTAAAAACAACCTAAGTGTCCAAAAATAGTGGTTGGATTTATGTTGCAGTCATGTAAAATAATAAAAAATTGGGCTGTATCTACATATTTATTGACACTGAAAGACATCTAAAATATCACCTAGCAAAAAATGCATGCTTCAAAACAGTATGTACAGTATAATTCCATTTTTTAATTGCCCCATAGCATATTATTATTATGTATATTATTATGGAGTACAGAAAAAAATGCACAATAACATTAAGAGTGGCGTTATCTGGACATGATTTTGGTTTTCTTCCTTATAATTTTCTGTATTGTCTACAATTTCTAAGATGAGCAAGTATTTTATAACAACAAAAAAAAGTTAGCTAACATTCTTCTATTGAAAGATTTTTTTTTTTTTTGATGCCTCTTGACAAACAGAGGTCATCAGAATATAGATTTCCAATGGCTACGGTGTGGGATGATCTCCCATTTCTCATACCAGCTTTAACTTTTCTTACCTCACTTTTTATGTAGCCCTTCGTAGTAGACTCAACCACAGTAAATATATTTTCCCCACATGTGATTTTCTTTCTGTGGTCTCATGTTTTCCAATTATTTAAAGACAAGTACTCATTCTTTATTTGGACACAATGTTGTTATCCCCGTCATTCGGGATGATGTTTTCACAGGATAGTGTATTAGGTTTTTCCTTATGAATTTGACTATTAAAACATAAATAGTTCACACTAAATTTAGATCTAACAAATAACCCATTTAATCAGACCCCATGATGTGATTAAAACTGCTGTTCCGGTAGACAGGGTGTAGGCTGAGTACTTATCCAGATAACCTGATTACTGTAAACAGTCAACTTAGCCTGAATTATCTAGATAATTGCCTCGCCTCTCCATTCTACATAGCCTAAGGTTCTAGGTTTATTTTTGCATCCTATGGGCCACTTTTTGCAGTGATCAGCAATCAGAGAAAATCAGATTATCACTCTGTTTAACCTTCCTGTGCCTTGGGTAATTAAGTCAACAAATTAGCTGAAGGCTCTGATGCGGAAGGGGATTGGTAGACTGTGGTCAAGACACGTATTTATGAATTTTCCCTTAAGCTGCTTTTCTTGAGGAAGCTTTGATAAGAAACATATGATCTCAATTATCATTAACTCTCTGTGGTTTCCGTGTTTGGGAGCTTGACCTAGACTTTAGAAGGCTTAGGACCCCTTCCAGTGTGTGCCTGAGCAGTGCACTGCCAGTCCATTCGCATTTCCCACCGTGTCGTGTCACGTCCAGAAAGGGCCCTTAAATCGCTCTTCACACACTGATTGAACACTTAGGGGCTACCCTGCTTCTGCAGGCTGCTTTCCCTTGTTTTCCTGCCCTTTGGTAATATGCTTTTCTAATCAACCAAACGTCTTTCTTTAAGGCTGGTTTTCAGTGTAAGATTATTTACATGGAATCCGGTAAGGTCAAAGGGAAAATATGTAGACACAAAAACAATTCCTATCATACCCAGGCAAAGAAGAATTTAGCAAACAAAAATACTATTGCTATTGTTCGAAAATCTAACCCTGTAAAAAGGGATTTGTTTTTGTTTTTGCTTTTAGAATTTTGGATTTAGTTTTCCTATGTGAAAGAAGCTTCGAGGATATCAGAATGTTCAGCTGCTGATGAGTCATAAAACCATCTTTGAAAACATATATTGAAATGCTCTCCAAATGTTAACTTTGGATTCAGGACCAGGAATCGGGCTCGTAGTAAGGACTTACAGGGGCTCGCTGGGATATGCAGGCTGATGGGCCCACTGCACAATTTAAAGGGGGCATTTCTGTCTCCCTAATGCCATATAAATATGTACACCATTCAAATTTTAATCAAATAACATGTTCTTTCCAATAGAACCCTACATCTATATAACAGCTTGAAGGAAAGAGGAGATTAGCTCCCAGAGTAATTATCTTAAACATCTTATTTGTGACCAGAGGTGAATTCTTTACTTCTAAATGTATACATTATAATGCTCCAGAAGAAAAGGGTTTTAAATATTATCATATATGACATATGACCATTATGAAATCTTGAAAAATGCATGAAAAGGTAAAAATAGTTGGTCATGTCAAGTAGAGATATATTTTACATCTTTTCCAGTGGTTTCTGTGACTATGCATTTTCCATTATTGAGAGCACACTGCACCATATAATTTTGATTCATTCTTTTCCCCCACTTAGTATTCTAGCACACCGTGTCTCATTTAGAATTTAGTATGTTTCAAGGATCAGCAAGCCCAACTTCAACTGGCTGACACAAATCCAGGAAATGATCAGCGGTCGAACTGCAAAGTCCTGAGCAGAAACCAGAGGTGCGGTGGGGACACTGGTTCCATGTGCCTGTATTTGTCCCAGACTTGCCTCCTCTGTCAGCTTTATCCTCATGCTAAACTCCCCTCGAAAAAGCACCAAATCGATCAGCATCAATTTACACCCTCTGACCGCAGTAGCCGACTACAGAGGCTCTTTTCCTAAGGTCTAGGAAAAGCTTTTTGTTCCAACATTTCCAGCCAAAGCGCTCAAGTGCACTCTGATTGGACCTGCTTTTCAATGTCCTTGAAGGTGCACGTCCTTGAAGCTGTTAGCAGGATAAGGGAACACGTTGCTGTGACAGACTTAATTCAGGGCCCAGGTGCAGACCCACCCAGGCCGCGTGGGCGAGAGGACACTTTCGTAAACTTTTTACTACCACATTAAAAGCATGTTCCCAAATGTCCTTGTAATGTCCATATGCCATCTCATTTTACTCTAATGCCAACATATTATTTAACATTCTTCCCTTGCTAGACATTCAGTCTGTTTCCTGTTTTTCCCTAGCACACGTTATGCTGGGAAAATACTCCTTTTTACAAACTCTTGGCTGCCTTTGGTTTTAACAAAGGTAGCTGTTAGGCCAAGGAGCAGAGTATTTTTCTTGGTTATGTTGCTTTTCAGAAGAACCAGGTGTCTCAGATGCGAGGCTCCGCAGCGTATCACACCCTTGCCAGCATTGTCATTTACAAGCGTTTGCTAATTTGTCTAGTGCAATGTTGCACATCATGGTTGTTTTTAATTCAATTTCTTTAATTTATGAATGGGGTTGATCTTGTTCTCTAATAATAACTGATAACAGTAATAGATCATTACTATTCCTATGCTAATCACTGGTCTGGGCATTTTATACACATCAGATCACTTAAGCCTTATAAAACATATATAACTAATTAACTTATCAAAAGCACATGACTAGGAAGTGGATGGCCAGCCAGGATTCCACCCCATGTCCTCCTGAATCAATTCTTAGCTTTCAACAGTCATGCAAAGCTACTTCCTGTTATGCATAGTGACTATTTGTGTTTCCTACTTGAATTGGTTGAAACATTTACTAAGATGCACTATGAAGAAGTCTAATTTCTGCAACCAACATTGAAAATGGAAAAAAAGTCATCAATGTTGAATATGACTATAGAATTGCACTTTTCTAAATAAAAACCAGAAACTCCAGGGGAGAGCCACAGTCACCAGCAGATTCGGATCACTGAGCCCTTCAGTGGGTGGGCACTAAAGTAGAGCTCCTTCTGTAACTTCGCATTATTCATGCTTGAAGGTGGGTAAGAAGAAAATAGTTTGTAGCTCTACTCTCATGCCTATATCCTGGCCTCTCAAATCCATGTGGCTTTGGTAACGCTCCATTTTTTTTGTTAATGTTTCCTCCAGATTAGTCTGCTCCAGGCTCGTTTGTCACAGCTGAAAGCAAAGTCTACGAGTGTTAGTTACTTAACCATCTCCCTGTAGTTGGTGTGAACAGTGCTTACAAAGGAAGGTAAGGTAAAAGTTATGAAAGTCGTAGGTTCAGATGTGCCACAATAAAGGGGAAATCAGAAAGCCAGTGGCCGTGAGCTTGTATTAGCTCAAGACAGCAATACACTTGCAGAATGCCTCCACGATGCTGCTGAGGGATATTCAGCACGGCGCCAAGACAGACGTTATTCCTCTATTGGGAGCACAGGAAGCCTCAGGAAAAAGCTTCTGTAAACTTTCTGGGGTGTCAAGTTGCCCACAGGGTGATCAATCTTTACATCCAAATTCATTCCACTAGAAGTCTGTTGAGCCACCTAAATGACACACAGATGTCACGACGCAGCCTCTGTAGGCATTCGAGATGAAAACCAAGTGACAATGCACCGTTTATCTTCACAGAGCCTTCCTCTTCCTCCCACCAACACACGCATGCACACCACACACACACGGACACCACAGCACACCATACAGACCACACACACACCACACGTGACCATATACCCCACTAACACACACACACACACACACACACACACACACACACACACAGTAAAACTAAAAATGTTCCTGGTCACTGTGCCCACACCACTGAGAAGTCAACTCAGTTGAGGAGATTTGCACATTCTTTCTGCCATTATGATGTCTCCTCTGTGTCCCTCTGATGCGGACGGATATTAAGCTATTAACTTGGGCAAATCCTAAAGCTTCTGTCTCAGCCATGTTGCCAGATGCTATTCATGTCCCTTTTCTAAAAACTTGGTTTAGCTTCTTCTCCTCGGAACGCCAAGTTCTCATTGCTACCTCTAAACCTCTCATGAGCCTATAGCATTTAATTGAACCTTTATTTCACGGTCTTTTCAATCTGAAACTTATTGTACAGAATTTGGAAGCAAAAACTGACACACACATGTATCAAAAGACAAAACCTTTGAAATTTCACAAACATAATTCATGTGTGGCTAACTATACTCTGGAAGAAATATACTTTGTGACAAATAGAAGTATGCTTTTCTTAAAAAATCAACAAATCTCTCAAGAATTTCTGTAGCAACGGTCACAAAGCGGTGAGGTAACGGTATGCTAACTCATAAGACAGATTTTTAATGAACTGAGTATTCATTCTATTTTGAGAGTTTGATGTATGTTAGGAAGTCACACACTCAGCTTAGTGCACTTCTGTCACTTCAAAAAGCCACCAGTAGAGGGAGTAAATAATTTAAAAATCAAAATAATTTTTATCTACTTTATTTTGAACTTGTATAAGGATTAACCTATCTATTTCTGTAAACTATCTGGATTTAAAAGGTCACTAATGTAACTTGTGCAAGATCTACAGCTATATAGGAAGCATAGAACAATATAAAATAACTATAAATGTAATTTGCAAATCTCTTCCCAATCTAAAACATAATCACAGTGTTAGAAAAGAACAGCGCCTGGCACCCAACAAACACTAATTATTATTATTTTTTAATTCTTCTAATGTTTATTTTTGAGAGAGAGAGAAAGACAGAGACAGAGAGACAGAGAGTGAGCAGGGGAGGGGCAGAGAGAGAGGGAAATACAGAATCCAAAGCAGGTTCTGAGCCATCAGCATGGAGCCTGATGTGGGGATTGAACCCACGAACTCTGACATCATGAGCTGAAGTCAAATGCTCAACCGACTGAGCCACCCAGCTCCCCCAAACACTAATTATTCTATTCTTGCCCATTTTTTTTTCTAACTCAAGGACTTGGGGAAAACCACCCAACTTCCCTAAGCTTCATATTTCATGCCTTAGAAATGCAAGTAGTAAATCACAGAGACAGGATATCGCAGAACATGTTTGAGGGAACTAGATATGATGATATATGTCAGGAAATTAGCACCAATAAATATGAGGGGTTTTTACTTCATTAGATTTCCCCATCTAGGTGTGATCCTCCTCAAAAAGAATGTAGATCCCACCCTGAAAACACCTGTCATTTCTGGTTCCATTTCTTAGTAGCCACAACCCTGTTTCATGGTGTTGTTGATATACACCAAACTTGCCTAGAGCATTTACTAACTGAAGGGATATAGTGTGTTGAAGAGAGAAAATCAAAGAAAAGTCTTTAAATAAATATGACTTTTCCTGAGGTCTAATATAAAGACACCTGTGAAGTTAGATATTCGTCAGTGAAGACAGTCTCAGGAGTATCCCCTATTCTTTTATTTATTTTTAGAGAGAGAGAGAGAGAGAGAGAGCAGGGAGGGGCAGAGAGAGAGAGAGGGAGACACAGAATCTGAAGCAGGCTCCAGGCTCCGAGCTGTCAGCACAGAGCCCGACATGGGGCTCAAACTCACAAACCGCGAGATCATGACCAGAGCCCAAATCAGACGTTTAACAGACTGAGCCACCCAGGCGCCCCTCAAGTTCTTATGTTCTTGATTCACCGTGAATAATTTCAGGCGATGGCAGGATTAACCATCTATTTCCTGCCACTCTGTGGTTGTAACCTTGGATCACATACTACTCAGTGAAATTAGATAAAATATGATCTCTTATTTCTTTATGAAGTTTCCTTTAAAAACGTAACATTCACATTTCAGAAATATTTTTTAACTGTCACAAATAAATAAAATGGCTATAATTTATAAATAGTTATTTATAACAGATAAAAGATAAAACCATTGTTTATAATAGGCAAAAGTCTATTACTTGTAAAAGTTCTAACAGATAAACAAAAATTAAAAGGCATCATTCCTTTTATGTTCAATTAATTTTTTAAGTTGCTGCGATCAGTCCCATGAATAAATATTAAAGATGACCAACATACTTTATCATCTGTTGACTTGCTTTTGGTTCATGTGTTCTGGTGTTGAAGGGTTAAAATATTAAGGCAGGAAAGACAGCCACATTTCTTTTAAGTCCCCAAATCAATAAGCATAGCCATAGGAAACACTCAA